CGCCAGGTTTATTTCCTCCCTGGGCAGAAGGACTGGATGCCTCTGTGGGTATCAAGGGTGCTCAGCGTCGTAGTAGGGTTAGTATTAAGATTCGCAGCCTTGCCAGCCTTAGGGCATTAAGGCAATCTCCAAATGTCAGACTGAAGCTATTCTACTTGTTTTGGGTTTCTCGGGGTTGCTCTTTGCTGTGATGTTTCTAGCATTTCAAAGAAATGCACTTCCAAGAAATGAAGCTTATTTTTATGTATTTGTTTTTGCTTGGCTTCAGTTCTTGGATTAGTTCAGTCAGATAAGATGGCACCCCTACCCTAACAGCTGTGTTATAACTGGTTTAGTCTTTAGTTTAGATTGTAATATATAGGAGTTTTTAATCTGTGGTTTGGAAAAGTAGTAGCAATATGACTGTATTAAGTGCAGATCTGCTGAGAGTTGTTGAAATAAGTAGGAGATGCTCTACTGTTCTCTACAGGTGACTTTATTTCTTGGGTTATGAGACATAAACCTGTTTTGAGTTCTTCTAGAACTTTATAGAAGCAGACTGTACAAAATCTACTGCTTAAAAAAAAACCCACCCCCATATATTTATGAACTTTGAACAAGGCCAGAGTTCCACTGGTGCTTTAATTCAAGTAAGCTTAAATTGCTTTAAGCTTGCAGACAGTCCCACAGCAAAGATCCAATCAAAAGGGTTGTGACTTTATCAATACAAGATCTTACCTTTAATTAGTGCAATGCAGCTTGAGAACAGGCAGCCTGATTCATACGTCAAACACTTCAGCTTGCGTCTTGCAATAGTTGTAAGTGAAATGGGTAATTCCAGTGCATAAGGAGGTATGTAAAGCTTGCTCCGTGAAACTTTCTAGCTGATGGAAAAAGAAATTGCAAGTTTAGTGTTTTAATTTCAGCATTTTAGTACAGTGGTTATATATGCTTCTGATGTGTATTTTGAAACATTTTTTTTCTTTCTCCCTTACAGGTTGTGTTCTGCCCAGAGGAATTAAATGATTGAAACTATAGATACTTAAAATTTTTCTTTGTGAACAGCCAATAGCAGATATGGAGGTGTAGGCCCCTCAGAAGGGACTTCAGTCTGAACTCTGGGAGGTAGTTTTGTGCACAGATAAAGAAACTAAAACATTAAAAGTCATTTTATCTGAGAATTCTGTTCACTCTATAAACATGGCATACATTAAAAAATTAATTAATCGATACAGAACATTAAAATGTCCCAATGCAAGTCTATTTGTTTCTGTTAAATATGATAACTCTATACTTGTAATTGAGACACCAGGGTAAAACTAAAATGATCAGCTCAGTCTGCTGAGAATGCTGTAGAAAAGAGCATGGGGTTATTCTTGGCCTCTTGCTTAAGATAGCCCATCCTTGTCAGTGATGGTTTACAGGATTTATTTATTCTATAGCTGAATTCTTGATGTATGCAGGGTTGAGTATAAGCAGATTTTTTTATTGTTGATTCTGCATGTAATAATATGCAGAAGTCGAGATTTCTTGGCACCCTAATACTAGCAACTCTATCAGATGGTGTTCAGGGGATTTTTCTTAATGCTGTTTGAGCTTGAGAAGCATTTATTTTCAAACTTCTAATGAGATTTATGAACTAAAGTCTTTACAGGTATGAGCTGCATATTTATCAGATCTCTAGAGTAAGATAGTTTTTAAATTATTGTGTTCTAGTCAAAATTGTCAATTTGGTGCCCCCTTGTTTTAGTTTCTTTATTGAGGAAGGATTTTGATAAACCTGTTTGAGGTTTTTCATTCTGGACCCCACCTCTACCAGCCTGGCTTATTGACACTATTCTCACAGATGGACAGTGCAAGTAAAGCATTTGATGGATAATTCATCAAAAAGGCCTTTTTGGATGTGCTTTCTGTACTTCCTGAAAAATTGGAAGTGGCTTTTGCACTGAAATCAGTGCAAATTTCAAACAGTAAGTGTTTGAAAGCTGTTAATGCAACTAATTCTGTGCACATGTGCAATCAAAGCTGCACATCAAAATACCTTCAGGTTGTTGCTTTTTTACAGGCAGGGGTTATTCAGAATGACCTTTCGGAATGCACACAACTACCTCCCAGAGGAAGACTCGTCCCATTCTTCCCCAAAGAATCCATTATGAACATAATGGAAGATAGCCCTTTCTTGGCTTACATGATGAAGCACAGCACCCTGTGTGATGAACTCAAGTACGACTTATCCTGTGAGCTCTACCGAATGTCCACGTTTTCCACTTTCCCTGTTAATGTGCCAGTGTCAGAACGGAGCCTTGCCCGGGCTGGCTTTTATTACACTGGTGTGAAAGATGCAGTTAAATGCTTCTCTTGTGGCGTAGTCTTGGCCGACTGGCAGCCAGGAGACAACGCTCTGGAAAGACACAGGCTCTCTGGTGCCAGCTGCAACTTTATTCAGAATGTGCTCTCAGTGAACAACCTCGGACTGTCCTCTCGTTCTGCATTTTCACCTCTGGTCACAAGCAGTTTCTCACCCCCTCTACATTCCCTCAACTTTTCTCCAAGCTTGGAGCAAGTTGGCTATTTCAGTGGTTCGTTTTCTAGTTTTCCTCAAGACCCCATAACTACTAGGGCTGTTGAAGACCTGTCATGTTTGAGACCGAAGCTTCACAACCCTTCCATGAGCACAGAAGATGTCAGACTACGCACTTTTCACTCATGGCCCCTGACATTTCTCTCACCAACTGATCTGGCAAAGGCTGGATTTTATTACCTGGGAACGGCAGACAAAGTTGCTTGTTTTACCTGTGGTGGTCAACTGAGTAATTGGGAACCAAAAGATAATGCCTTGTCAGAGCATCGGAGACACTTTCCTAGCTGCCCCTTTGTGGAAAATCTTTCTCGAGATCAGCTAACCTTCAATGTTTCCAATGTGAGCATGCAAACCCATGAAGCACGTGTTAAAACATTCATAAACTGGCCCAGCAGAATTCCAGTTCAGCCTAAGCAGCTTGCAGATGCTGGCTTTTACTACGTAGGTAAGAAAAACTGACCTCTGATATAATTCATACTGTTTTGTCAATATATGTATTTTTAAATGACTTCTGTGAATGTTTGCTAGATATTTCACTTTTTTCCTCTCATAAAAGGACGCAATGATGATGTCAAGTGTTTTTGCTGTGATGGTGGGTTAAGGTGCTGGGAATCTGGAGATAATCCATGGATTGAGCATGCAAAGTGGTTTCCAAGGTAACTTGCAAAAACCTTATCATACTTCTTAGTCTCACTGCCCAAACAAAACTTTAATTTTGATGTGAACTGTACAGCTCTTGTTCTGCTTCTCTTTTCTAACTTTATCATGTTATGTTTGTTTGGATGTATTTCATTAACTTCTGTCTCAAATTACTGAAGTGTTTATGTGGCCTCAGTTAAAACATTTGAGCATGATATTTAATGCACTCCACTTTAATGGAAAGTCTATGTGCATCCCCAGGTTTTTGCTAACAAGCGATGTTGCATTGCTGATACCTGAATAAGAGAAGCAACAAGAAGAGGGGTTGAGGGGAGCACAAGCTGCTAAGAATGAAGCAGAACAAACTTTGAACTTCCCTGGTCTCCTTCTGTACCCAGGCTGAACGCTCCTGGAATTGTCATTTGGCAGATAGGGTTTATCCTCTGGGTGTGGAAGGGCTTGTGAAGGAGGAGCTTCTGTTTATGGGGTTGCTATTGGAAAAAGTCAGGCATAACTTTGAATACACTTCCCCATAATTAAATGGCAGTTGCATAAGTAATTGCTGTCTGTCTCTGGGAATTTCCACCTACGTTAAGGTCAGAAATAGTTGCGTTTAGTTTCAAGAAAGCTAATAGTAATTCTTAAAAGTATAGGTCTTTAACAGTCTTTAAATAACTTAGCAGGTTCTGTCATTAAGTCATTTATATAGACCTAAAACCCACCTCTGTTCCCTGCTGTATTGCTCCTGTTAGTAAACATACTTAAGAGAACTCTGCATTAATTAAGCAGATAATGTTTTGGTGACATATTGTGCATTCTCTTGAGTGACTTGTGTAGGAGATAAAAGGTGAGATGTGCAAGTGAAGCAGTCAATTTATCACTACAGTGTGTAGTGAAGCTAAAGTGGTTGTTTTCATTGCTAGGCCATTTCAAGTAGAAGAGGCAGCAAAAATGGCCACTGATGCCTTTCTCTGCCCAGCCTTTTTTATATCTAAAGCTGTTGGCTGCTGAACATCAGCCAAGAGCTTTCCTGGGGCATTGCTCAGAACCAGGCCACCTGAAGCTTCCAGTGCAGAGAACTCTTCTGTTTCAGTAAATGAAGATAAACATGTATTTAAATTGTTATGTTGTTTTGAGGTGTTTCCTTATTGATGATTCCTGGAAGTGGAAATTGTAATTAGAACCCTTGTTAATGTTTCAGGTGTGAATATCTGCTTCATGTGAAAGGAAGAGAGTTTGTAAGTGAAATTCAGGCCCGCTTCCCCCATCTTCTTGAACAGGTAAACTTTACTTTTCAAACTGGGGAAAAAAAATCAAACAGTTCCGTAAGATGGATATGTTGTTTTGTGGAGTAGGGTGCACTCTACCCAATTGTCAATATTTTAGTATTAGGTTTCTGGATAGATGCTATTTTTAGGAAAATTACATTTATCTGAGCTAAGCATAGTGGAGTTGGAGTCTAACTTAGTGTTCAGGATTAGTCGCAGTGTTTCATGAGAATTGATAGTGGATAGTATAGTATTATTGTAATATAAGGGTTACAGCACTCTGTCATTTACAGACAAACCTTGTACTACTTGTTGTGGGGCAATGAGAGACTTCCCTTCTCCTTAACAGGAGGGGGAAGTTCTGATTTATGTAAGTTCCCATGAGTAATACCAGTAATTTCTATTTTAGAAGTCAGCTCCTGTCATCCCTCCCCCTTCTGTCTCTCCACACCCCCCCGCCCTCTATTTTTAACCATTGCTCTTCTGGTAAGAGGTTGATGGATAAATTTGCCTTCCAGAAAAAGCATCTCTTCCACTGACTGTTATGGGTATATATAACACAAGTTGTTAGACTTGTGTAATTAAGTGCAAAATAATTAGCAGATACTATCAGATAAAGCTCAGCATTCTTTGTGAGAAAAGAAGGTATAGAAAGGCTAGAAGTGTATATGGAGGGGAAAGGGATGCTTTGATACTAATGCAGTTGCATTATGTTCACAGCTGTTGTCGACCTCTGATACATCTGTAGATGAAAACGTTGATCCCCCAAGTATGTATATTAATGCAACTTGAAAGGCACATTTTTCAAACTTGCTCAGCACTCTGCACCCTTAATACTTGGCTATTCAAAATTAACATCTGAGTTTCTTGGAAACAGCAGCGTTGTTCTCTAATGCTTACATAGCTTTAGCATTACATGGACAAGTTTTCTGGAAGCTTATTAGAGTTTATTTTTATAATATGGTCTCAGTGATGTTTTTGGCTTTGAAAGCTTGTATCTGCTGCTTGTTTTGTTTTGCCTAACCCAACCATGAACACAAGTCCAGCTGGAATTTGCTGAATGACCTGAGGTATCAGACTCTGGAGTGCTCCTCCCCAGGGGTGACAGCTCTAGTTTAGGTGCAAAGTCTAGTAAATATTCTGAGCTGTCCTGCTCAGGCAAAGGGTATGACAAGCTCTTGATGTGAAGTTGTTGTGCTCTCTTTGGAGAGTGGGAGCTGAGCCTTGCCAAAAGAGCGAGTAGGTTACAGCTATCCTAGTTACATACGTGTGTGTATATAAATATATATATAGTAACATGATGTGGAGTGGCAAATCAGTCTCATGTGCCTGGTGCTTAATAAATTGAATGGAAAATATTGATCCAGAGCTGGGATAGAAACATTCTATTTGCACAGCAAGCTCTTCATTTTGAGTTGGCAGCTATCAAAAGAGATTTTTTTGAGGCTGAAGTTAGATGTTTTCTGAAGGTGTGTGTTTTTTAAGCGATGACACAACTGAAGTCTGTCCTTTTTCTAGCTTTTAGTGAAGGCTTAGCACTGATCAAGACTTATCAGAGGTTCAACTCAATTGAATCCAAGTAGCTGGCTTCCATTTAAAACTAATGACTGGAAAAGTCTTTTTAACTACTGAACTTGCACAGTGACAAGTGTGTGTGAGAATAATGTGGAATATATCTGGTTTGTGGTGTGTATGTGTGGTGGGTTTTGTTTGTTTTTAACTTCATTTTGCTTTTCTTTGATTAGTTATTCATTTTGAACCTGGAGAAAATCGTTCGGAAGATGCAATTATGATGAACACGCCTGTGGTTAAAGCTGTTTTGGAGATGGGCTTTAGTAGGAGGCTAATCAAGCAAACAGTGCAAAGTAAAATCTTGGCCACTGGAGAGAACTACAAGACTGTTAATGATCTTGTGTCTGATCTCTTCACTGCTGAAGATGAGAAGAGGGAAGAGGAGAAAGAGAGGCAGTCTGAAGAAGTGGCATCAGGTACACACATGGCATGAATAAAACTAGAAGCGACTTGTATGCTTCTACTTTTGACCTTTTTTCAGTTGTTACTCAAAGTGATTTAGTTTTACTTGCTGCTAGCATTGTTGGAGGATCTGCATAGATCTGGATCAGTGTGGCAGTTTGTTTAGAGGAGGATGGTGCATACAGGTGCCAAGTGCTCAGACTCATGCCACTTGCTCCACTGGAACAAAACCTTTTTTTGCTTGTGTGCATTTGATATTATGGTTTGTCAAAGATAAATTGACCTTACTTAGCATGTTGTGAGAGGAGGTCGCCTTCTCTCTGTCCAACTCATAACCACATAGATTAACTATTTATATCATTATTTGATGCATCTTTATCATTGTCTATTTTAAGACTGTAAGTGGTTTTGTTTTGATGCTTAAAAAGCAAAATTGAGACTGAAGTGAGAACAAAACTTCTTGTTTATAAGTTGAATTAAATGACTTCTGTCATTAAAATGAAGATGAGCTTGGTCATTAAACAGTCATGAGAAGGGTTTTCTTTTTGATGATTGAGAGGTGAAGGGGCTTTCACTGGTGAGAGGCCTTCGGCTTCTAAACTGACATGTGATTTTAAGCTCATACTTGCATGTAAATTCCAATGAAACTGAAGTTTTTATTAATGATATGTAGTAAATGAAAGGTTTGAGAAGCAAGTGTCAATTATTAGTAGAAATGCAGTTTGAAGTACTGTCTTCCTAACGAGCATCTAATCTGCTTTGTGTTTCAGATGATCTGTCCTTAATCCGGAGGCACCGAATGGCTTTATTCCAGCGCCTGACCTGTGTGCTCCCCATCCTTGGCAGTTTGCTCACAGCTAAAGTGATCACGGAGCCTGAGCACGAGGTTATTAAGCAGAAGACGCAGACGCCGTTGCAAGCAAGAGAGTTGATAGATACAGTCTTGGTGAAAGGAAATGCAGCTGCCAGCATATTCAGAAACTGCCTACGAGACTCTGACCCTGTACTGTACAGAGATTTATTTGGTATGCCTCTCTAGATTTGATAAGCTGACATACTCTTATCTGCATTGTCAGAGCAGTGTACATATGGAGGGGGGGGAAGGGTTCTGTTGAAGTATAGATTAGCCAAATAATTAAATGTGTTTTTCTCTTTTAGTGGAGAAGAGTGTGAAATATGTTCCCACAGAAGATGTTTCAGGTATCTTAAATTCCACTTAAAGGGTGTTGGGGGGCAATAGTTGCTATTAAAAAGGCAAAAAACCCTTAGGTTAAGAAATGAGTTTTAAGTTTTACCCCATCCTTAACTTTTGCCTTAGTAAGATGGGTCATGGGTTTGAGTTTGCTGCAGTCTATTAACACATTAAGTTTCAAATACACTCTGTTCCAGTCTTTCCTCACACTTGTAGTGTCTAAGCCTCCCTATACACTCCCACTAGTTCCTGTACCTTGCTTCTAATATCTAAACAAGAGAAGTACAGTATATATTGAAATACAAACCTTAGTCTCAGGAACTATAGCTGGAGTCCAGTCCTTGAGGTGCTTCATTGTATTAGAAAGTAGGGTTGTTGTTTGTTATACCACTTATCTAACTCTGGAAACTATTACTGATTACTGCTAAGTAAGGTGTGTCATGGAATAGAACTTTATTAGAATATTTTCTCATAAAAATGCATATGTATTCAAGCTTCTAAAATGTTAAATCACTTTTTTCCAGGTTTACCTATGGAAGAACAATTAAGGAGGTTACAAGAGGAAAGAACATGTAAAGTTTGCATGGATAAAGAAGTTTCCATTGTTTTTATTCCATGTGGTCACCTAGTGGTGTGCAAAGAATGTGCCCCTTCCCTCAGGAAATGCCCTATCTGCAGGGGGACGATCAAGGGCACAGTGCGTACGTTCCTTTCGTGACAAAGGGAGGCTGGCACTTGTGGAGCAACCTTTGCTCCTGCCAGTGTCCAAATACTCAAGCTTAAACCACCAGTGTCTTAACAGAAAATCGTGGTACTGAAAATGATTTATCAGCTACTTAGCAGAGTTTTATACCAGTAAGCTATATTGTCCTTATGAAT